ATTATGCATACATTTAATCATCGTTCTCGCCACTACCACTGTTTTTGAAACCTTCTCTTTGTTCTCTGAACTTCCCCCCTGAGGAAAGAACTTATGGTTTCCCCATAGCCATGCTTCCCACCGCGTCATCTCCCGATTACCCCTGCTGCGTAGTCAAGCGATTGTCGCCATCTGGTCTGTTCTCCTGTCGATGTGTGTGTGTGTGTTTGTGTTTCAGCCTGGCATCGTGTCCGGATGTCCCTGATGGACCAGCGTGAGAACACAGCACCCCGCCTCGTACCTCCCCTTCTCCCCCCCTCCCTTCACCCACCCCTCGCCCCCTCATCCTTCAACCTTCCACTCTGAGCCACTCTTGGTGCCTTCTTTAGCTTCCTTGGGCACATTGAGAGGTGCCGTCAACCTGAACTGGATTCTGTCATCAGATATGACGCATTGAGCCGAAGATCGTTCCCTTCTTTCGCCATCGGAGACGAAGCATTAGCAATGAATCGCTGCCCATCCTGCTGCCTTAACTCTAACTCTCACAGATCACTTCAATTTTTGAGGCAATTCCCATTGACGGTTCCGAAATTGTTCCTTCTTGGACGGTTTGTACTCGGGGAAACTGTAAGTACAAGCGGTTCGACGCGTCCCCATTGCTCCCTAACGCCGTACTTAGCTAGACTAGGTACGGTGGATTCGGGATCCGCCTTTCGGTGGGTAAACACATGCCCTATAGCTTCAATACTTCTTGGGAAAACAACAATCAAATCCAAAAGTCAAAAAAAAGGGAGGGGATTCTCCACACAAGCTTTGCCAGCTTGGCCCCTCCTTCACCTCCGTTGTCAGTGAGTCTCGTCCTGATGATACTCAACGAAACCTCAACATCATCAGGCAATCTACACGAACGAGAAACATACGGTACTCAAGTAGCTGGCCGGGATCAATTAGCCTCCGGCAATGCACTTGGACGCAGGAGCGACTAGCGAGGAGCGAGTCCCGAAAATCCTACCTGTCAATCGGGATTAAGCCCGGCCCCTGATGAGCGGTACTCCATACGACTCTATTTACCCTGCATCCGTCTAATAGAATTCCGGACAAGACACTACCGCTGTTATTATTATCTTCCGTACTATTATTATCGCTTTCCACCGCCGAAGCAAATTTTACTGCCTCGTCTACATGACACGCAAGTGTCTACGGGGCTCCGGAGTCCGGAGGAGTCTCCCCTAGCATAGAGTGTACTGTACGGAGTGCAGTACTGTGCAGACTGACATGCGCGACGAACCATCTCCGCAAACCCATTGCTCCAGCCTTTGCGATGGGAGTGCGACCTGCATATGGACTTCTGAGTATAGCAATCGGGTTTTCGTTCTTCGGTCAGCAGGTTTCAGGACCAAGAACAAGCGGATCTGGAACGAATCCCATCGGCGCCCACACATTGACGGTCCTACGGAAACCTGGCAATAGGATCCGAAAGGGCGAGGCCACAAAAGCACACCCATACAGTGCACACTTACACACACACACACACACACACACACACACACACACACACACGCGCGCGCGCGCGCGCTATGGGGATCCGCAAGTCCCTGAATTCTGGCTCGCTATGGGGAATGGTCCAATTTTCTGGCGGTTTGGGATTTAACAACACTCCGAAGCTAGAACCCGCTAGAGTGTCACCAGAACCTGTTAAGCGGAGATGTCAGATTCCCGCTCGCCTGTTTTCCATTCTCGAAACAGCAATAGCAGCAGCAACAGCAGCGCACGGGATCCTCAACTAACTGTAATCCTCCCCATTGTCATGCAGTGGCCCGCAATCGACTGGGCTGACATTTGCCCCGATCAAGCTGGAGAGAGAGAACCGGGGGGAAAAGCCCTCGCTAGGCGAGCACTAAAAAGGCAGTCTCCGTCTCTTACCAGTAGAGTTCCATCGGCGGAGCGTTCACTAAATCCACCACCCATCCTGTTTCGGCACTTACCTTGGGGGTCTTCAATCCTCAGGGTAATTTGATCATGAGGACAGGGCCAGCCAGTCCCGTGGCGTAGCTTGCCGGGGAGCTTCTATGGGCGATCCCGACGTGAGCTAAACTCGCAAGCGCTTCCATAGAATATTCTTAGTCTATTCCCAGTCCACCGAGGGCCGGTTTTCCCTACCCAATGGAGGAAATTTGAATGGAGTCTCCCAGACACTATGGTCCTACTAGTGATTTATCGTTATCGCTGATTGGAAGCTGCATCGGATTAATAATTATTACTATGGGACTGACTGCCCTTAGCCTCCGCGGCAGCAGAGATAGGGGGCAAGCCAGTTCCGGCAATCCAATCGCTTTCGTAAACTCGAATGCGAGTTGGCAGTATCAACAAGCGTGCAGAGGAAGTGCAATGCCAGCAGGGCGATGTCCGAATGTGCTCCGTTATGGAGGACCATGCTGTCGTATGCGCGGGGTGCAGAAGGGGATTAAACTGGCTAGGTGAGTTGATCCGAGGATAGTCACATCTACACAGGATACGCCCTCCCCCTACTAACCTGTCGAGCCTCTACTATTGAGAATCTCTTATTTTCATTACAATAGTGGATAGCTACGATCAACCGCCTGAATTCCTCTTTTTTAGCTCTTCCAACCCTTTCCTGGCCAAACCCTCGTGGTCACGGGCTTCTCGCACCCACGCAGCACTTGTCACCACCGCACAGCTCAAGTACCTCGAAACAAGACACCAGTCCTCGTGGCTGTGGAAATAACATGATGCAATCAAGACGGAAAAGCAAGCGCATGGGATTGCGCCTCGTATATCCCGTCAAGGTCAATCTCTACCATACACACGGTAGTAGGAGGTGAAGATCATCATCTCACAACATCCGTTGACTGGCCGGAAGGACAAGTAGACGGGTTCATTGTATTGACCGTGTCCACTTTCTTGCTGTGGCTCGCCGAAGTCATGATTGCGACTTATGTCATTCACCTGAAACAATCCATTTTCTCCCTGGTGTCTTTGTCGAGGAGGGCTCGCATCGCCAGCAAATGTGTGGCGAGCTGCAGATTCGGTACCCAACGACGCCAGCAAGAGCTCGATGACCACCCTGTGAGGGAATCGATTTACGATCCTCTCAGATTATTGAAACGATGATGACATCTTTCTTCCACTGCTTTTGTTACTTTTCTTGTTCTGTTCTTAATCGCCATACTCCCATATTTTTGTTTTGGTCTGTGCAAAATGGAGCTAATGCAATGCAGCATGTAAGCCACCTGATCCATCATTCTGACCTCGCGCCAGTCGCCACTTTGAGTGAAATATCCCCCCTCCCCTTCCGAAAAGAGACGGACAGAGAGACCCTACCAATATGTTCAGATGGTGCATACGGTACACACAGAGAAATCTGCCCAACAACGAACACACCCATACCAGTGACATATAAGTCGCTCCTTTCTCCCCTTTGGCCTTTCCTCTCCCCCCTCCTCTCCTTTCGATTCAAAACAACATTTCACAGCAACTTCACTCGCCCCCGCTCCGACTGAATCACCAACCTGTCACTCGCGAGACTATCCATGGATCAGACCGACCTCGCCCAAGCAAGGGCTGACGACCCCATCTCCCTCCAGCACCAACAACACACACTCACATACACACATGCAAAGAGAAGCCACTGGTCCTGTACGGAGGAATCCATACATGACTGTATGTACGTGCAGTACATATGAAAGGTCAGATACCTTTTTCCTGATCCGGCCTCAGTCACATCGCCTATGCTGCATGCCTACGGGGTTAGATGGGACCCTTACTGGACCTCCGTTCCGTCGTTCCGTCCGCCAGGAGCGAACAGAAAAGACCCCGTGGACTGGGAAGTTTGTTTTCTTCCCATCTCCTCCTGTCAGCATCTGTCATTTCGGTTGTTCCCGTGGTGACTTCGGAAGGAAAGAAGGACGGGAGGGAGAAATCGTTCAGCCCGTGAGTGCGGTCTTATGGTCGCTGTCGACGGTAAGTGTTGTTGGGTAGGGTCCACCTTCGTGGTATCTGCACGCTTTGCTTTCCCTCTCCCTTTTGGTTGCTTGGCGTTGGATAGATATCATGGTGGGCTGGAGTGTGAAGGCCCTTAGGTGGAGTGCTGGATTCGATTGCCCATATTCTTTTGGAGGGGGTGCGGAGGCTGAGGGAGATCTCTCATATTTGACGCTGTCTTTGCGTAGTGTAGTGTCCAGAAAGGGCAGCACTCTCTTGTAAATACCGCATAGCGGTCATCGCTGCTGGTGAGGTGTAGGTGTAGGTTTCGATCGATGAGGCTGCTGGCGTTCTCCTCCGTGGAGAATATGTGCTTCCTCGGTCCCGGGATTCTCATCTGACTCCATCGACTCTCGCTCCGAAATTAGTATGAAGGTAGTATGTGAAGTTCGCTGATCTGGTGTCCGATCATCGCATCTCATTCATTATTTGAGACAGTTTGCGCCCTGCACAGTACACCTCTTGTAGAAATCTATTACTGTGGGTGACTTGTGGATAAGCTCACCACCTCCGCTTGATGAGGGATGGCCTTCTCCCAGCAACGGTCGACCACATCCACTCCTCTTGCTTTGCGGTATGACCAAGGCTAGCGCCATGAAGCAATGCATAAAACTATCAGCAAGTGACTATATCCCTTGACTTCTCAGAACTTGAGCCCTGAGCCTCAATACTCAGCAACCGTTGAGTATATACTGCTAGCACCAGAATCCCTGATTCAAGAGTATCTTATTCGTATTCATCGAAACAAAGACTAAATGACAGCAGCATTCTCACAACTTGACAACTGCAGCCAAACCCCATCAACCGTCCTAACCAAACCCAAACGACACCAACCCAACAACACGATATTATATCCAATCTACCAGAGTCATCACTCATATTTTCATAGTCCAACATTCATATCATAGATCTAACCAACCTATTCCCTTCCACCCTACCTCCCGCTCACCCCCATCCCTCTCTGCCTCCAAACCCTAAGCTCCAAAGGCCGCACTCCTCCAATCCCCTACCACTCACCCTCACAACAAAGCAAGAAACCCCACCCCAACAACAGCCGCAAAAGACGCAGCCCCGCGACCCCCGACCACACCCGGCGCCGCATTATCAGTGACTCGAGCCCCCTCCGCAGAGACCGCGCCCGTCGCCGTACCCGAATCACCCCGACCAGTCGCACCACTACTACCACCGGTGGTACTAACACTTTCCCGACCTCCCCCCGTCCCAGCAGCAGCAGCAGCAGCAGCAGTAGTCGTACCCGCGGCCCCCGCCCCAGTAGCACTCGCACTAGCACTAGCAGTCGCATTCCCACTCCCAGTCATCGACGCATTCACCGCGCTCAGCACCGAGGTCGCCGCCGCCGGGTTCCAGGTGGTGGTTGAAAGGGAGCATGAGGTCAGGATATCGTATGCGTCTGCCCCAGCCGCCCGGTCCCATCAGATTAGTTTGATGCTCCGCTGCGGGTCACTTTGCCTTAAAGGTGCATGAAGGGGTATGCATACCGTTATCGTGTCGGTCATTGTCATTGTCATCATCATCATCGTTGTCATCGTCATGGTCATCAGCGTGATCGTGACCGTGATGCTGCTGGGTCCGGTAATACCCGATGCAGGCCTCGCACAGCGGGATGAGCGTGGCGGCGCGGTCCCACCCGCAGACGCATTGGAGTTCGGCGCGGTCGTTGTCGGTCTGGGCGTCGCAGGCGTGCGAGATGTTGACGACGGGGCCGCACGGCTCCCAGCAGGGGCTGGGGACGTCGTTGCGGTCGAGCTCCCCGCCGGCGCTGGCGCTGGTTGCAAGCATGAGGCCGCTGAGGGCTAGGAGGTGGGCGATCTGCATTGTGGTTTTCGTTTGGTGGATGGAGGTGCGAGATGCGACGGGGATGAAGAGCGAGAGAGAGAGAGAGCTGTGTATGAGAGAGAGGATGGTGACGACAAGGCTTGTTGTTCAAGTGCTCTGGTGCTGGTATCGAACTCTAATCGACCGAGGGACCATGGAGCCCATCTTTATACTTTGTCTTGAACCTTGCCTGCCTTTCCCCCTCATTTGCTTTTGGGTGGATGTTTCTATATTTGCTTCATCGCTACTTCTGAAGTGTAGGCTACAGCTTCCTCCCCTCCCCTCGCGGAGGGAGACGAAGCAGAGTAGAGCAGGGCAGAGCACTGCCGATGCTGATGCCGAGTTCGCTTGAGTGACGACCAAGTCCCTCCTCCATTCATCCGGTGCGTAGAACTCTCGATGTGAGAACCTTCTTGCTGGACGCTATCTGCGCTATCTGGATGGGACCGTTGCTCAGCCTCGCCCAAGTCACGGTCGCCAAGGAGGGTGGAAGATCAAAAACAGGAGCAGGACCCTGATGAAGCGGCGATCAACTTTCGGCAAAGCCAATATACACTGCGTAAAAAGTGGTTGCCTGGTAGTGTGCAGTTGCAGTGGTCGAGATGATTGCGGTTTGCGGTTCGGAGAATGGTTCTGCAGGTTGGCGTTTGTGGGCAGATCTTCGTCCCCGGCTGGGGAGTGGTTGCTTGGCTTCTTGGCTTTGCAATCGCGATGGTATGTCATGCAGAGTCAGGGTTCATCCCGACTGATTATGGGCCGCATTTTTTGAGGGGAGGGTGGATGTTTAGGAAGAGAGACGCTGCTTTGGATCAGTGGCATTGTGTGTTTATGATGGAATCGTGGACATGGTCACTCTAGAGTGTGGAACTCTTGCGGATTCATTGTGATGGTTTGTGAAGATATTCTCATTACAGTACAAGTTCATATATCCCACATAGGTAAATTGCCAGTTGCAAGTTGGAGTTTGGGTAGAGAAACGTCGGAGATGTAGAAACGATTCTGGAGAAAACGCATACATGGGATGTCCCTGAAAAGCCCTGCACCGCCTCCTTGCTATATATAGATAGCGTCACACGTTAATCGAACCACAAGCCATTCAGAGCATCCATTTGTATATTAGAGAACTATGTTGCCTACATGTGTATGCATGAAGACTGACAGTCAAGACAACAACTGCCGATAATTCAAGTGTGACTATGAAAAGAACTTGCACCGAATGTGCCAAATATCACGAAAACGGGCCGGGCGGCTTTCGGGATTTGGTCAGTATCCATGACTCGAGTAGTGAAATGGGACCAACTATGAAATGCACACTCAATTCCCTACCTAGTAGTAGTCCTTTTGTCCCATACAGGGCCTACTATAGCTAAGCCTGGTGGAGTAGATGGATAGTTTCCGGAAATGAATTCCCACGTACACCAAAAGAGTAAAGCTGGTATGCTGTCTAGGTCATGATGAGGTCAGTTGCCCCTCTTTGGATGATAAACTGCGTCGGAATGTACCGTCGACAACCCTCAACCCCTCATTCTGTCCATTTTATCCCATTCCAGTGGATGTGGATACATGTCTTGTCATAAGATCCCTGGCGTTTTGAAGTCCCATGTTTCCACCTCGTGCGTGACTTGCTAGGTAGTAGTACATCACACCCTTAGTATACTCCATACTTCATATCATATCTCCTATACCTTACGCTTCCAACTTTCCAATGGCCCGCGCTGCGATAAGCAAGATGTCCTGGGAAAACCATGTCCTTCGGCCGGTCCAGAACGCCCCTCCGTCTATAATACCGACTCTGATATATGGGACCGCATGGAAGAAAACCCAGACTACGGATCTGGTTCACCAGGCGCTGAGCACTGGCTTCCGTGCCGTGGATACAGCTGCCCAACCAAAGCACTATCGGGAGGATCTAGTTGGAGAGGGCATTCGCCGGGCCCTCAACGATGGCGCCATTCAGCGCAAAGATCTCCATGTAAGTCCCCGTCATTACACACGGTGGGAATCTCAATCCTCTGGACAAGCATGCGGCTGCTGTATCCTGATGCATTGGCCCCCGCGGTAGCTAAGCCAGGTTCCAGATCCAGACCAAATTCACCTCCGTCCGGGGCCAGGACCCCAAGGATATGCCCTACGATCCGCAGGCGTCCGTGACCGAGCAGGTCCATGCCTCGATTCGTTCATCGCTGTATAATCTGCGTCCGGCCGAGGCGCCGGAAAGTGCGGACGAGGCGTACCTCGATATGCTTATCCTCCATTCCCCACTGCCCACCATGGCGCAGACGCTGGAGGCCTGGCAGACCTTCGAGACTTACGTCCCGCACCGCATTCGCAACCTGGGGATCTCGAACACCGACCTGTCCGTTCTGAAAGAGCTCTTCACCCAGGCGCAGGTGAAGCCGTCGGTGGTGCAGAATCGGTTCTACGCCGACACGGAGTATGATGTCGCGCTGCGGGCCTTCTGTCGGGAGCAGCACATCGTCTATCAGAGCTTCTGGACGTTGACGGCGAACCCGGATCTCGTGCATTCGAACGCCGTGCAGTCATTGGCCCGGCGGGCAGAGCTCTCCCCGGCGGCAGCCCTCTACTGTCTGGTTTTGGGCCTAGGGTATACCACGGTGTTGGATGGGACCACCAACACGGCTCGGATGGAAGAGGATTTGGCTGCTCTCGCGAAGATCGAACGATTTTCTGGTGCGCAGCCAGAGGAGTGGCAGGAAATCCTGGCAGAGTTCCGACTATCAATCGGGGAGTAAGCCACGGCATTGGATGAGAAGGTTTAGACTACTAGGTATCCTCTCTATCTTGTTGTGTCACTGGGGGGAAAGGAAAAGGAAACCCGCGACAAATTGTGGAGGTTGTCTCGTACTTCCGGCGGAATCTCGGTCCTGGCCCGTTTGTTCTTGGCCATGCCCTCTTTTGGCTGGTGTTTGCGCTTTCCGTCCCTTTGTGGTCCTCTTTCCCCAGTCACTTAGCAAGGGAGCAAAAATTTGATCAGCCAGAACTCCATCGAAGGCGCTTGAAACATCTGGAGAGCCAATGGTTCTGGGGATCACGGCCATTTGGAGGCCGAACAAGGTCGAGACTACTGTTGATAGTAGATGATGATTGGATATGAGGCCGAAGTGGAGAGCGTGCCGGTCCAAGGCACGACCGAACTAGTGTATAGACAGCCTCAAACTGTACCTTTGTAGTAGTTTACAAGTCAATTGAACAACACAAGATTTTTTTTCTTCTTTTCTCTGTGTCCTAGGGTTCCCGCTCCGATACTGGGGCACTCAATGATAAGAGCCGGACCCGAAGATGAGTGTCAGTGCTGATATATCTATATCTTCTTACCTACTACCAATAGGTACTTAACTAGTATAGCCCAATCTCGAGTTGAAGTTAACGTCTGCTTTCAGAGTTGACCAGTTGCCGACCCCCATCGACACGTGCAAGTGACAATCAGCTGAGTCAGCTATCTGCAAGACCCGCCAATCAGTCGGCACAGTTAAAGCAATTGACCTCATCACCGCCCGCCAAGCTTCTCGATAGGAGGAGTTTTGCAAGACTGGAAACACCGTTTTTTGTTCTCTAAATCCACCTCCACCAAGACCGCGCCATTAGGACCCATTAAGATCAGCTTGTTGTTGCTGCGGAGCCTTGAAACTAGGAGAGGGTCGTGAGCCGACAGTTTCAGCGCAGTCCTTTTTTTTTTTTTTCTTTTTTTTCTTTAACTGAATACCTACCTACTCTACCGGTATACTACTACTTTATTGCCCTGCGCTGGTGCTTTTGGCTTTCCCTGCGCCCGCCCGCCGTGTCTTCCCCCTCTGCAACCCAACTGGTCGAGTCCTATCAAGGCTGTCACAATCGCACTGCCATCGTTCCCTACAACTTTCACTTCTCTGCATCTGTGCGAAACACTGCAAACCAAACGACGATCCTAGTATACAATAGCAAACGATTGTTCTCATTATTCCATACCCGCCCGCCTATTGCCTGACTCCCGCCTTTCGCGTTCATTTCTTGCAACTACTCCATCTAGCGTCTGCGGCGGCGCCCGTCGCGTCTCCGCCATTGACACTTGCGTTCTCCATCCACCCTTGTCCACTACTCCTCCTCCTTGCTCTGTTCCTTGTTTATCATATCCTTTGAGTGATATAGCTCTGGGATTATATACCTTCGCCCCTCCCACGACGTTTATGACTGTCCTTGGTTTTGCGATTTCCCAAATCAGCCAGCCGTGCCAGCTGAACACCCGCCCGCTTATCCCCGCCATTCGCCCACACCCAGCAGATCCCGAGCAGCGAGTCGTTCCTCCCTCGCTGATCGCTTATTTCTCGGACTTTTTATCCTGCCCCATCCCTGAGCACGACGGACGGAACACGCGAATCGACCAAAAAAAACTCCTCTCTCCACAATACCCGCTTGCCCGCCCGACCGACCGTCTGTAGGTCGTTCAGTCGCCTGTGATGAGCCCTCAAGGAATCACCCGCAAACGACCAGCTCCTGGCACATCCCCCATCGTGCACCCGCAACTTGGCCCGCTCACGAATTATCCTCAAAACCCCGGCAACCAGCTGTCGAACGACCAGTTCCTACAATGGGGCCAGAATCCGTCCTCCAACGTCTCCAGCCCGTCCTACCCTGATGCGAGTTCTTACAACCCGGCGGCCTACACCTCGAACTCAGATGTTCCGGCCTCCACAGTGACAGCTTCAGGCCAGCTTGCTCGGCGCCAGACCCCCACTCAATTGGTCAACCGCAGTCGCGGGTATGACCAGACGTCGGCCTCTTTCTCAGACCCTGGCAGTGGGTCTGGCGAGTCCGGTGGATGGGGGGAGAGCCTCAGTGAATTGTACGAGCGCGCGATGGTCGCGAAGAGAGAAGTTCAGGCCAAGCGAAAACAGATCCCTCCTTTCGTTCAGAAACTGAGCAGGTACGCTCCTCCGGAAAAGCAACTTGACTTACGGAAATGGGTAGCTAACCATGGCTGCAGTTTTCTGGATGAGTCCAAAAACACCGATCTAATTCGGTGGTCGGATGACGGCAATTCTTTCATCGTGATGGACGAAGATGAATTCGCGAAGACTTTGATTCCGGAGCTATTCAAGCACAACAACTACGCTTCTTTTGTTCGCCAGTTGAATATGTACGGCTTCCACAAGAAGGTGGGACTCTCTGACAATTCCATGCGCGCCAGCGAACGGAAGAATAAGAGCCCCAGCGAATATGCGAATCCATACTTCAAGCGCGGTCACCCGGACTTGTTGTGGTTGATACAGAAACCTAAAAACGCAGCTGGGCAGGGCAGCAAGGCGGGTAAGGGCAATGTGCGGGTGAAGACGGAAGAGATCGAGGAAAATGATAATGACGAGTACGTTGACGATGCCTTGGGACCTGCACGAGATGATCGATCGCGCAACCGCCAGCTGTCTTTGATTACGGGGAGCCTCATGCCGAAGGATCAACTCGCGGGCGTGTATAGAGAGTTGCAAGCGATTCGCCAACAACAGCAAATCATCTCCAACACCATCACCAAACTACGGAGGGAACACGAGCAATTGTATGCGCAGGCAGCCAACTTTCAAGAGCAGCACACCAGGCACGAGAACTCCATCAACGCGATTCTTACGTTCTTGGCGACAGTCTACAATCGCAGTCTGCAGGGACAAGAAGGGCCGCAAAACCTAGCGAATTCGTTTGCTGGGGCCATCTCACAGGAGCAAGGCAATATCGTTGACATGGACGATTACTCGCTCGGGTCGCTAGGGCCTACCGACCTGACCAGCCCAACAGGACCGCGGTCGCTGAAGAAACAGCAGCTCCTGCTCAAGGCTCCTCCGGGGCAAGACCGTCAGGGCCGTGCAACGACCTTGTCACCAGCTTCCACTACCTATGACCGCTCACACTCGCGCGGTCATGGTCGGCAAGCCAGCGTATCTCATCCGGGACATGTCGAGGAGGTATACGACAACAGTCCTCGGCAAAAGGAGGCGCAACCGCCTCCAGGATCTCATGTACCCCAGCGGGACATCATGTCAGTCATTCAGAATTCCAACGCCCGAAACGGTATGCCAACGAGTTTCGCCGACTTCCCGAATGTCCTGTCATCGCTCGAGACTTCGGGCGGTAACTCGCCACTTACTCCCAGCCAACGCGCCGATATGCTTCGCCTCATGGCCCATGAAACAGGCACCGGTGGAGTCAATGGTGCGTCGTCTCCAAATAACGCCTTGGTCACACCGACGCCTCCGCCAATGCCGCACAACTACTCCGGTCGGCTGGCCAACACACGGGCGGAGATCGACAACCTGGTCAAGATGCAGGCCGAGCAAGATCGCTCTGTGCAGAACCTGACCAACCTCTTACAACCCCTCAGCCCGACGGGCACCATACCCGGAATCAGCATAGATGGCAGTGCGCCCCCTCCCCCACTTGACCTTGATACTATCTTCAATAACGACTACTTCACGGATATTGGAGATCTGGAACATAATAAAGCTAGCTTAGGTTATGGCGATCCGGCCGGGTCGGTGCCAGCCACAACCGCGGCCGACCCGGTGGTTACCGCCGGTCCCGATGGTGGGATCAAGGATGCGAACGAATTGTTCGACTTCGACAATCTCCCCGCTGACAATGATCTCTTCGGCGGAGCCAACCCCGCACCACACAATCCGGGATTCTACCATGGATTCGATGGGAGCGGGTACGGCGCAAATGACATTCACGCCGGCATCGGGGTGGATGGGCAGCTTCCTAACGGCAAAGACTCTAGCAGAGTTGAGTCTTTGCCCGATAGCGATGCCACCAGCCCTGCTAACACTGTGGATGATAGCATACAGTACGGTGGGCTAGACACGGGCAACGATGCTCTGGGAGGTAAGGGTCTCGGTAGCGGCGTGAAACGGCGCAAGAAGGCTTGATTTCCGACTTTTATGATATCCTACTAACGGAGTTGGGCACCGACAACGCTCGATTGCCAAACAAGGACGAGGAGCGAGATAGACGAGGGCTGCAAGTGCACGTATACGTGGGGAGTCGCCACAAAAAATGAGTCGCGAAGTCTATGAGGAAAATGCATTTTACTTTCTTTGCTTTTCCTATCTTTTACTCTCTTCGTCAACCGATGTGTATCAGGTACAAGGCCGACTGCCTTTGACTCCCCTTCCTTACCCCTCCCCTCCCCCTTTCCCCTTCCCCCACCCTACCTCAGTGCCCTTCAACTCCTTAAACTAGAATCTATTTTTATCTATTATGTTGTGATGACCCCCACCAACAAAAAGACCCAAGCAGGAGGGATATGGCCTGGAACAGATCAGCCTGTTTATATTTGGAAAAAGGAAAATGTTAGCTAGTTCGGTCTGCTGTTGAGGTCTGGCGATCAATGTTCTCATGCAGTGAGTACAGGCAGCATCGGTAGATTTCCTTTCCGAGCCATAATACAGTAACGATTTCTTATCATAGCGGTGCGTGTGTGGTCTGGTTGCTCAGTATCATGTGCACTTCTGTTAAGCCGACCAGAACAAATCGTAAATGACTACCTTAGAGGATCAATGCCGCTGATTGTGGCGTGAAGACACATGTCATTGTTCATGGTCCAGAGCATCTGTGAATCCATGGCCATGACCTGCATTAGCAACCACCTGATATCTAGTTTACCCTTGCCTTGAGAAACCCAAGATAGTAGATCCATATATTATAGATTCCCTACTAGGTTTCATGCCAAACATACAGATAGGAAGGAATAACCAAATATCCGTACAGGTCCAGCACTCAATCAACCCACCACCAACCTACATACATCCGGTGCTGTACATACAACCAAGATAACCCAAGGTAGGGTTAGCGCCTCCGCTCCCTCTCCCTCTCCCACTCCAAATCGCCCACGCGGCCACGCTTCCGCTCCCGCTCCCGATCCCGCTCCAACCCTCCTCTTCGTTTCCCGGAAGACCCCGACCCCGACCCCGACGCCACAATCTCCCTCTCCTTCTCGCGGGGGTCGATCACCATCAACGAATCCACGTCCTCCGGGTGCTCCTTCTTCCAATTCAGATCCTTGCCCAGCGTGTCCTTCCCGAACCGCAGCTGGTGCGTCAGCCACCCGCCATCATTCTCGGTGTCGCCGGTGGCTGCATCGGCATCGTTCTCGTGGTCGGCGGTCTCGTTCCACGATTGGCATGATTGGCAGTTCGCGATGAAGTGCAGGTCGCATAATTGGGCTTCCTCCTCTTCTTCTTCAGCTGTTGTTGTGGTGGTGGTTTGGGGCCTGGGGTTGCTGCTTTGTGTGTGTTTGGGCGCGGTGGTGGAGGCGGCGTTCTCAAGCTTGGCCTTGAAGGCATTGAACATCTTTAGCGCTTGCGCGTCGGCGGAGATGGTGCTCGAGAAGCCTGTTATTCCGTTGGTGCTGCCGCCGCTGGCTCCGGGGGCAATGCTGCTGCTGCTGCTGCCCGGGGCAGGGCGCCGGCGGCCCCGGATGGCGGTGGAGGGGATCATGGCTTCCAGGGCGGATTTCTTGTGTGTGGAAGGGTCGTGAATCGTGGCGGTGGTGCTGCGGCGCATCGAGGCCATGACGGCTTCGATTTCGGCATTCGTGCGGTCGAGTTTGGTTTGTTTGGGTGGTGGTGCTGGTGGTGCTGGGTTGGGTTCGGGGGAGGAGGAAGGGGATTCGGGGTCTGGGAGGGGGAGTTGGGTGGATGGGTCGGGGGTGCTGGGTTTGCGCGTGGTTTGCGGATGTGATGGTATGCTCGATGGTGGAGGAGGTCGTTTGTTGCGGAGGGGTGGTGATTCCTCTTCTGGTTGTGGTTTCTTCGTAGACGAGGGTGCTGCTCCTGCTCCTGCATCGGTGACCAGCGCAGCATTGTACTTCGGTTTCGCCGCTCGCACGGGAATTCCCTCCTCCTTCTCCTCTTCCTCGTCATCATCCCCATCCCCTCCAGCGAAACTCAACAGCGTCTTCTTCGGATTCTTATTTTTCTTCTTCGTAGCGCCCTTCCCCTTATCCTTCTCCACCCCTCCTGCCACTGCTGCTGACGGCGCAGCAGCAACCCTCCGCCCCAAAACCACCTTCCCCGCAAACTTCCCCAGCTCCCCGACCTCACACCCCGTCACCTTGACCGGAAACACGGGCCTCTCCGTGCCGGCCACCACCTCCGCCTCCGCAATTTTGAGCACGGTGAAAATACTTTCCCCCTCCACGCGCCCAAACAGCGTACACTGCCCGTTCAACTCCCGCTCCGTGTTCGCCAAGGTAATGAAGAACTGGCTCCCGTACGTCCCGTCCTCGCTCTTGGCCATCCCCACCAGCCCGCGCCGGTTGAACCGCAGCCGGCTGTGCAGCTCATCGCGCAGCACGATCTTCTCGGTGGGGTCGCGCGCGTCCGGGTCCGTCTCGAATTCGGGCTCCTCGTAGATGGACGTCCCGCCTGCGCCGGTGCCCGTGGGGTCCCCGCCCTGGATGACGAACCCGGGCACGATCCGGTGGAAGATCGTGCCCGTGTAGTAGTTGTCGGCGACGTGTTGGAGGAAGTTCCGCGTGGTGAGGGGCGTTTGCGTGCCGAAGAGGGAGAGGTGGATTGGGCCGAGGGTTGTGTGCAGGGTTGCTGTGGCTGTGGCGGGGGGTTCGGTGTTGTAGTGTGTTGACATTTTGGTGGCGGGGTGGGGGTGAGTAGAAGTGAGTAGGAGTGAGTAGGAGTGGGTGTGGGTGGTGCGCGACTGGGCTTGAAAAGAGGGTTGATTGATTTCCGGCGTAGATGGGAATGGTGATGGTGCAGTCGGGTCGAGTTGCGTGTATGAGGTGGTGATTGGATAGCGTAGGTGTGTGAGGGAGGTGAGGATGTTGTTTGTGAGTGGGCTTGCTGCACCCCGCGGTGAGGTGGGAAGTGGGTTGAGCCGCGGAGGGAGAGGTTGACTGGGATAGGAATTGAAGGTCAAGATGAAGCGGAAGCTGAAGCTTTCCCGGGAAACTTTCGGCTGCGTCACGTCACGTCACGTCACGTCACGCTCCCTCCCATTGCAGTAGTTATACTCCGCCCTAACTAACCACTGCCACTGTCTCCAACTTTCTCTTCATAAATCCGCTCTTTAGTGCTTCGGTACTTAAATCAATTGACTTTGCTATGGATCCTACAAAGGCTCAGTGGTCATGGCTCATTTTGATCTCATTTCACATGCTTCAGATCGAGGACTGCTAATTCAGCCAAAAGCCGACTCTGACAACTTTCGACAGAGCTGCGGAAGTCTCTGACTGGGGTCTACATGTAGAGGCGGGATTGGGATTTCTATGCCTCATGTGCATGTATTCAAGGTATGAGTGAGGAAGTTTTCCTGAGGTAGAAAATCGGCTTTCAATATTGCATGATATTGTTCATTATCTGCGGATGCTATTATTGCTGCATGAAGATCACCCATTCCACTGTCATACCATAAATCGTCCCTCATTAGAATGCAAATCCTGCATCTAGATATTTAGATCCACAAATGGGCTTATTTCTCAGCATCAGCGGCGGCAGCTGCAGCATCGACAGGAGCGCGCTTCTTGGTGATGCGGAATCCACCAGCCAGAAGCAACAATGCTTCCAGACCAAGGATCACCGCTAGAGTCACCATCGCGCCAATGACGCCCGCCACGGGCCTCGAGACCCCACCGTCGCTCTCCGACTTCGACGAAGTAGTAGTGGTGGTGGTGTTCGAGCTAGTCGAGTAGGCCGCACAATCTCCATCGGTGTTGCCGCAAACACTGCACCACTGCTTGGTCGAGGTGACGGCGATCTTGCTCGAGAGCTCGGAGAACTCCGACCAGGAGATGGTAGGGCTGGACTTGCCATAGAGCGGGTACTCGGTAGGCGAGCCGGATGAGAGGGTTCCATTGTGGAACACGAAGCGCACGCTGATGTCGGAGGTCGAAGGGAACGAGTCCGTCGAGTTGGTCACCAGCTCCCATGCCATGCTGGAGGCGTAGTCAGGGATACCCATGAAGTCAACGTCCGCAGCGGGCAACTGCGCAAGGCCAAAGTAGGACATGAAAGTACCGTAGGAGCCGAACTGGATGTTCAGCTTGGATTTGCCCTTGGAGGAGATGGTGTCGTTCAGACCGGTGAGCACGTCTCCGGCTAGGATTGCACCTGCGATGGCGCGGATGGTGTCCGAGGAGTTGTAGGCCAAGTTGTACTGCTCGATGTTGGCAAGGAGAAGGGCCTGATGGAGTTGTTCCTCAGTGGGGACATTGGTGGTGTTGTGGATGTACCCAACGTTAAGGTAGTCGAAGATCGTGTAAGCGTTCTTGAAGCTCATCTGGGAGTCGGAGAAGGTTCCATTCAGCAAAGAGGACAGGGACTGGTAGAAGTCCTGGGTGGAGGAGTGTAGCGAATTGTAAAGTGCCGAGGAATAGTAGTTGTTGCTGCTGATCTCGGCGTTCTGGCACTCAGTTGAGCTCTGCAGCCAGGCCGTATCCTCACTGTTCGAATTAGTCTCGGTGAGAGAGATGGGAATCAGCTGATATCCGTTCAGCGGAGAGTCGACAGTGCTGCCATTAGCCAGGGTCTGGTTCGCCGACGAGCCGACAGGGGGGTAGACACCCTGGAGAAAGCCCGTGGCCGAGTTCTGAAGCACATCGTCGGAGGGTGACGAGACACTGATCTGGCTCAACTTGACGATATTCTCGTTGATCCCTTGGATCTGAAGAGACGAGTTCGAGTCAAGGTACCGGCTGCGCCAGTAGCTGCCTGTCTGATAGACTTCGCTGTAGCCCAGATCGGTCAGCTGCGTGTTCTTCAACACCTTAGCGGTACGATCTCCATGGCGAGCGAAGATATAAGCCCCGAGGATTCTCTCTGCAGATACTGGCAGGGCCAACGGCATGGCCAGCAAGGCAAGCATGAAACTGGACTGCTGGGTAGAGGACCGCATGATGAAACTTGACTGCCACGAGGTCTCTTACTCTGTGAAGGTGAATGGGAGAGGAGGAGTAGAGGAGGAGAGTAGAATGAGGGGAAGGTAGCAGCCAGACCAGTCTATAAAAGAAAAGAACCACGGCTGACGGACCAGCCAGCCCGGCGTCTGCCGCGGAGCAGGACTTTATCATGAGATTGATTCGCCTCGACCACGGCGGGGTCCGCAGGGGGGAAAATCTCCCAAGGAACAGGAGCCAAGCCCGACAGATCGAAAGGGTCCTAGACGACATGACTGACTAGGTACTACTTGGCAGGTAACTCGGGATTGGTTGGCCAATTTGCTTTCCTGTCTTAGGGTGCAATTGCAATTGCAAATTGCAGCCGATAGGAGAAACGACTCCCCGGAACTGCCATCCTGCAGATATTAATGCTCATATTGTTCCGCGGAAATGTGAAAAAGAAGCCATTGAACCATTCCAGCAGAGCTTATCTGATGCCAATGTTGAAATCATCCACTGGCCTGCCTGTTCCCCGCTTGCGGGCTTGGCTTCCATCCCGTGTTTTCTTATCGACATTGACTGACACAATTGCCTTTCTTTCTTTCTTTCTTTCTTTTTTTTTTGTTTCTTCCTCTCTTCGTTATTCTCAGTCTGAGTACCGTTGAATGTGCGCGCAAGATAGGTACCTAGTACCTACTGAGTAGACTACCCCAGCTGCGGGGTCCCAACCCTGAGTCAGACCCTGAAAGGATTAAAAGTGGCCAGCCCTGCAGTGCAAGTTTCCTCTCAATGGCGAGTCTCCCCCCCCACTCCGCTCATTAACCTATTTTGTCAATCGCCTTATCGTCAGCAGGGCGCTATTGGCCCGTTAGGTAATTCTCATATTAAAGCAACAGTCCTGTAGAATTCTTCTGATCAATTGACTTATGTGGTATAGAATGATTTGATCATCGTGGATTCTTCTTATGGTGGTGCTGGTGCTGGTGCCGGTGCTGGTGCTGGACGACTGACTACCGGTCCATCAGCTCACAGCCATTTCGTACAACACCCACCAGTCCGCCTGTCTGCATTGTCTCAGAACCTCCTCCCGCTAGCCTCCATTCTATCTCCGCCAGCCCTTCCAGCCAGGTAATCCTGGTTTGTGCGGGGACTTCTACCCGTTGCAGCTGGTCGCCCAACGCAGACAAGATATCCGCCAGAGCCAAACCCTTATTGGTCTTAATCGTATTGATCGTGTTGAGACATGAGGTAATATCACTCGTGTTAAGAAGTGTTCGCATGATCTCTTCGATATCAGCGGGATGGGGCGCGGCAATGCAGTCGTAAATCGTTTCATTCGTAATCGTCTCTGGCTCCGGACGGGGCTGGTCCTGAGGGGCGTCCTTCATGGGAAGGGGTATACCTAACAAGGTCAGTACGAAGGAAAATCCCCGGGACTGTCATCGGTGCCTAGACGTACTGCTCGCATGGCAAGCTTGAAGGACATTCAAGGCACGTCGCATGTCACCCTTGCTCAGCGTGACCAGGCTGTCTACCGCTTCGGGCTGAATCTTGATCTGCTCCTTCTCAATCACCTGATCCACCAAGACTCGGATGTCTCGCTCTTTTAATGGACTGAATCGGAATCGGGTACAACGTGAAAGAAGAGCCGGGGAAAGTTTGTGCGTATAGTTGGCAATGATGCAGAATCGCGTGTTGGCGGTGTACCGCTCCATAATACGGCGAAGTGCCATCTGTGCGGTTGCCGTCATGGCATCGGCTTCATCGAGAATAATGAGTTTGAAAGAGGCGAGCGAGGAGCCTCCGGAGGCAGCTGCGGGTGCCATGGAGAAAATCTGCTTGGTGCCTAACAAACGTAGGGTAAGTTGGGAGCGCCATGCTGTAGTGGTTGGTGGGTGGACATACTGGCAAACGTCTTGATCTGCTCACGGACCACATCAATACCACGGTCATCACTGGCATTCAGCTCTAAGACCATCTGTCGCATGTTCTTGCTGCCATATATCCGTCTGGCCAGCGCGAGGATAGTGGATGTTTTGCCCGTGCCAGGAGGGCCATAGAGAAGGAGATGGGGGAGACGCTAAAGCTTGGTGAGTGTCTGGTGAAGATGTGCGGATTTATTATTGCATACATTGGCTTCGACGAATTTGTTGATCGTGGCTAGAATATCCTGGTGTCCAGAGACATCGTCGAGGGTATTCGGTCGGTATTTTTCGACCCTGGGAGCAAATTAGTGAGCAGAAGCACTATAGTAGACCGGAAACATGGTCGACGGACCAGGGAAGGTTGTCTTGAGCCTCAATTGGTAGATCTGCCGCGGGTCTTTTGGATTTAGAATTGGTGTTATCGGAGCTGAACTGGATCGCGTTCTTGGACGGAGCGTCCACGTCCATATCATCCTCGTAATCGGACATTGCGAATATCGGAATTGTGAGTTGCTGAGTGATGATTGCTAGAATTGAAATGGAAACTCAGAGTAAAGCCCGAAGCAAAACACAAGGGGAAGGCCAGACGCGTCGAAATCCCGCAGCGCGTAAAGAGGTTCGGGGCCGGAAAATCCCAAGGCGGAGGAGGAGCTCCTGAGGGCGGCCAGCGGGTGATGACATGCGATGAGGAACCTCCTTCCCGCCCGCCGGTCTGGCAGCACCGCCTTCTATCAGCACTTCTCCCCCCTCCCCTCACTCACCCCCCCACTGCCTATTCTCCTGATCCATCAACAGCCAGCCCTCATTAGACAGGCTCTAAGGGGACCCATTGCTCTTTCGCTACTATCACATCATGCCTGTAAGCTTTGCGAGACTCGTGCTGATGATCATTTTCATTCCACTTCCCCCCCTGACACTGGTCTAGGCCTACCACTCCATCTTCCTCGAGGACCGGGATGTCCCCGTAATAGGTATGGCGGAATGCGCTCCCCTCTCCCCTGCGCATTTCACGGAAACCCCCAAAGAAAGCAGCAGCAAAGCCAACCAACATAAACTAACTCCCATCGACTTCACCTTCTGATCTACAGGCAATTTCCCCGTCCTCCCCCTCCGCACCCGCACTCGCGGCCCCGCATACACCCTCCCTCCGCTCCCGCCTAACGCCGATACCGAAGTGCCCGCCGACAGCGAGTCCTACGACTGTGTCGACGAGATCCTGTCGCTCTTCCGGGCCAATGTTCTGTTCCGCAACTTCGAGATCAACGGCCCCGCCGACCGTATGCTCATCTATGGAACGTTGTTCATCACCGAGTGCTTGGGCAAGGTGAAGCCGACGATGGCTGCTCGCGATGCGGAGAAGGTCAGGGAGCTTCTCCCATTTTCCCCATATTGCTCTTTGTTGTATGGCTAGAGGGAGAAAGACTTGCTGACGGCAAGTGGCACATTCTAGGCTCTGATCAATGTTGCGCTCGATCACTTTGCTATCCCCGGTGACGTGGCCTTCCCTCTGAACCAGGCTTTCGAGCCCCCTCGCGACCGTCAGGATGCCGAAACGCTCAGATCGTATGTCTCTCTCTTATCACTCCAAGGCGTTAGTTTCTGGCTTGGATTTTGCTGACGTGGTTGGTCTGCTAGTTATCTGTCTCAGGTGCGACAGGAGATCGCTATCCGCCTGCACGCTAGATTATACCCCGGCGGTGTCGGTCCCTCGAAGGTATGTTTCCTGAACCCTGCTAGTGGGGGAGGAGGACACTGGCTGATATAGTCATCTATAGTGGTGGCTCAGCTTCACCAAGAGAAAGTTCATGGGAAAGAGCTTCTAAGATAGACGTTTTATTGCTTTGATTTTGCGCCCATCCAGTCAGCGTGTGACGAACCCATAAGGACGGCGGCCGAGGTATTGTCACTTTACTCTATGTATATTTGAATATGAGCGTTGTGAAAGCGAAAATCAACGTGGTTCGCTATGGTGACGAGGTGACCAGGTAACGCCTAACCAGGCCTTGGTCTAAGCTTGCAGCAGGGGAGGCGGGACCAAGTGGTTTATGTCATGCAGATCCGTAACAGGATTTTCCGAGTTATTGCTCGGAAGTTGACATTAACATCATGAGATTCCATATAAGGATTGAACCCTTTCCGACTTGGTAATTTGTAGAGAGTCTATGTTACACGTTCGACAAGAAAATTGGCAATCCAGCACAGTTTACACAGTCATCTCCACATCAACACCCTCGCCACTGTCTGCCGGGGTCTCATCTGACCGAGCGATCTTTCTCTTCTTGCGGCTGGGGTTACCTGCTGCCTCAATGTGTTCTTGCGTGGGAACAACTTTAATTCCGTGGAAAATGAAGCCGTCCGCACCACCCCGACTGGACATCAGGGGATGTGAGCGCCCTGGCAGGACCTGCCACACCCGAACTCTCGACGTCTCCAAGGTAGGTGCCAGTAGCAGGGTCGGGTCGAGAGGGAATTCCTCCTCGAGCTCGGATTTCACATCGACCGAATCATCTGATGCGGCCTTCTGCTCCACCAACTCGCGCCTTCGGTTGATAAAAGCGGTCTTTCTTGCGGTTGAGTACAAATCCATTACCTCTGTCAGGGGCTCAATGTTGGGCGAGTATATGGCGACCGGGGCCGAGCCGGCCAATAGTGGGATCGTGTACTTCAGCACGCTGCTCGGGTCCATCAGGGTTGCGATCACCAAGCCATCGAAACCACCAGCCCGAGCCTCGTCGACGGTTCGTCGTACCCGCAACCACCGACCACGCTTGCGGTGGTAAGCACTGCGCTTGCTCGACTTGAATGTGGAAAGCTCCTCGGCGGAGATCTCCGTGGGTTCCTGAGCGTAGATGCTGTCTGCGTTGGGGTCCAGAAGCTGCATGAAGGAGACAGTCTTGAAGTTCGTGTAGAGAGGGTGAGAGTCGCTCGGGTCGTCGGCCTCGTAACCGAAGTATTTCAGGAGACTGATGTTGGGTTGCTTGTTCGCATGGAGCAAGGTGATGGTGTTGCCTTGCGCAGACATCTGCGGGCGACGATTCCGACGTGACGGGGCACCACCCTCGGTCGGTTGTGCCTCCTCCTCGTGCTCTGCCTGAGCGCCGGCGGTTGCAGGCACTTTCTGATGCGCGTCCTGCTGCTCGTTATCGAAGTCTCCATCATGCGGGTAGAGGACCCCCATCCTCTCCGCCATAGCAGCGACCACCAAGCCACCGGTATCATCCACGACCAGGTACCGCCCATTCGGATTCGACAAAACGGTCTCCATGTCGAAGGAGGTGCTGCCTCCCTGGTGCACGTTGCCCCAACACCCCAGCAGACCGAGCGCCTCGTCGCGCATCTCCAGCGTTCTCGCCGCCTCCTTGTCCTGCAGCATATAGTTCGTCAAATAGCTAACATCCAAGGGGATGATCGTGAACCGCTTCATGTACTTCCGCTCCTTGCGCAGCTTGTATTTCGCCAGCGAGAATGCCGTCTTCTGATCGATCGCCGAATGTGACTCCAGGAGCTTAGCGATAATCTCCTTGCCGGCCCCCGTGCTCTCCTTCTTCAGGGCCTCGATCTCCTCGATGGTCAGCTTCTGCGTCGAGCGATCGTCGATCGTGTCGCGGTTGGTGCGCATCGTCGATGCCTCATCGCTGGGCTCTTGGTCGTCGCCGTCGCCTTCGCCTTCGGCGATAAGGTGTTCCGCATGCAGCTCGGCCGCCGAGACAATGCGTAGGTGGGTGCTATCGGGCTCGCCCGGGGTTTCGTGGATGTCGAAGGTGAGGTAGAAGGGACGACCGATGATTTGGTTGGCGGGGAACGTTCCATATTTGCCCAGGAATACTTGGCTACAGAGGTGTCTCTCGGTCAGCTAAGAGTGTAAGAACGGAGGATTGAGCCCATTTGCTCGGTCGGAGGCGAGGCGCGCGCGCATACGTATTAGGGACAATCTTTTGGATCCTCGTCTGATCGGACGGGAGCTTGAAGGCGACGAACTGATTCGGTCGCACGTAAGAATGCATGCTGGGCGACGCAGGGAAGAGGGGGGGAGGAAGCTTTCTCAATTCATCAAATTCTAAATCCAACCGTTCCGCATCGAGCACGCAAATGAGGAGATAAATTATGTCGCAATGCTAGACTTCTAAGTTAGCTGATAAGCCTACTTGATCTGGGGGGTTCATTTCACTTTTTTTCTGCGATAACGCACGGACCCCCCACGAGCTTGTGATAATGCAGGAGTTATGTAAGCGCTGTGCTGCGGGCGGGAAATGTGGTTTTTCCGCCTGCCGGCGTAGCAGCCCAAGACGTCATCGAGTGGCTCGTGATAAGTGGCTTCGCAGTGGGTACAGTGGCTGTGCTTCAGGTGGAGATTGTGTCAGGGTTTACTTATCACTTTACCATACAATACACGTTGCCGGGACAGCACAGGAGATCCAGGCAGCCGAATTGCTGAATTGCTGACCCTTGCCGTAATTGGCTGTATGTGTTGGAGTACTTGGAATCTCCACCGCCAATTGACAGCCATCCGAGGTCGACTGTAAGTTAACCCTTCTATTCATCTATGGGAATTCGGGTGCCTGTGACCCTCGTTCGACTCATTCTCAGCTGCTATCCCTGTCAGCTGCTGCTTCCAAGTTTACGCATTTCAATTGCATCCTTCTCTGTCATATCCCTGGCCAAATGCGCAGGATTATGGTCGTCGACTGAAGTGTTTACTACGCCAGTGACGAGGCTTGGAGCTACTGCCCCCCGTTACGTATACATCCCCCGGTGGCTTCCAACCACACGCCTGTCGGCATTTCCCCTTCCATCATCCATCTATCCATTCATTCATGCATCGAAGGTGTCTGACTGCACCTGTCGTTTCTTTGTCACCAACTCAACTAAAGTTCACTGGCCTCTCACTTCTGCCCATACTCATTCTGCCTGTAATCCTATTGGCCCCCAAGCTTGTCCAACGTTTCATCGATTGACGCCCGTGAGCTCGGTTGGTCCCCCCACCCCCCCAAAGATCTGGACGGCAAGAACCCGCCTTCATGGTCCTGCGAAAACGAGCTCCGCCACGTCTCCAAAGTCTCGGCCAAGCCTACGATTCTGCAGACCCTCGCCATCTGTCGTCCAAATCCTCACCAACCTCCAAGTCATTGTCGTCGTCGTCCCCAAAGCGTCTTACCCGCCCTCGAAGGGCTCAAAGCACCCCCCAACCTCAGCGGGCCGCTTCCCCCGACTCCATCTTCTATCCCGACCTCAACACTTCACCGGCATTTGACCTGATGCCTCTAGAACAGGCGCAGAAGTCTCCAACCAGGGCCTCTCCCGGTGATGCCACGAATGCATGGGCGGACGAGCTCGTGGAGAGGTTCAACCTTGGCTCGCATGAGTCCTCCGGTCTAGCGCAACCTGCGCCAACCGTGCCCGCTGTGAATGGTGCGCAGGCAACAGGAAATAGTAGGGTCGCCCGTGTACCGACAGTCTTGACTCCCGGAGCTCATGGAAGGCCCCATACAAACGAGTGGCAGCAACCACAACATCAAAATGCTGGGAATGGCTCTGAATGGGATCCGCACTCGGGCCAGCATTCTTCTATGCCGCTGCAGTCCAATAACCCATTCCTCAAGCCAAGAATGCCTTCCGGGGCGAACCCGTGGGAAGATCCCCAGTCCCGTGCTTCATATGGTGAAACATCATCGATCTCCCAGGACGGGGCAAGTGTCCGCTTAGGTCAAGGTAGGTCTACCTAGAGCGCTCTGTCCGTGGCTTCAGCTCTAACGGCGTTTTCGCGTAGACGAAGGCTATATCCCGATGACCGCACGCTTGTCGCTCTTGGAACAGCCTGACGAGGCGTCCCCGTGGGCTGACGAACATACTAACACTGCCACGCAACCCACGCCACATTCGCAAGTCGAGCCTGCTCAGCATTTGCATGAGCCAGGCAGACTTTCGCCAGATAGGAGCATAAGTACCCCGGCATCTTTAGATACCAATGCTACGGGCTCATCTCATGTTCTTATCGACTTGAACGATGCTCCTCCTTCGCAGATTGGAGAATCCAGTCGATTAGGTCCCACGGAATATGGAATCATGAACTCATCTCCCAATATGTCTCAGCCACAAAAGCGTCTTTCAGGACCACCTTTACCGGAACGACCGAAAACGACATCCGAGCCAACCGCAGAGGCCCATGCTCAGTCACCACTAACGGCTCCATTAACTGAAACTGAAATGCAGCGCCAGCAGGAGCAAAGATCCGAGACCTATTCTATTCGGCATGTTCATTGGACGAACAGGACAGGCATTTCCTGCGACTCACCAGTTCTCATACAGAATAAAAATGGTCCATGTCCTCTCTTAGCACTAGTGAACGCCCTTGTTCTACGTGCAGCAGGGCAAGAAGTCCAGCCACCCATTGTACGGGCCTTACAGACTAGGGAGCAGATCTCTCTAGGGTTGTTGATAGAAGCATTGTTTGACGAGCTTACGACATGCTTGGGCCCGAACGATGAGCTTCCGGACATCGAGGCTCTCAGTCGCTTTTTGACTATGCTACATACCGGCATGAATGTCAATCCACGACTCACATTGGTATGAAGGCTGTCCCTTTCCCCTATTTAGCCCATTCTCACAACGCGCGCAGGAGTCCGAAGATAGCCTTGGCACTTTTCTTCAGACCGATGTTATCCGGTTGTATAGTACATTCGGCGTACCATTGGTTCATGGCTGGGTAGCCGCTCCATCTACGGAAGACCATGCAGCATTGGACCGGGTAGCGCAGTTTTACGAGGATATCCAGCTTCTTCCCTTTCGTATGCAGGAGCTCGAAGATCGGGTCATCCAAGGGGGCTCGCTTACGCCTCAGGAGGAACAAACTATGCAAGATATACACACCATCCATGGCTTTACCGATGTGAAAAATGCAACTCAGTTGAGTCCCTTTGGCCTCGATCAATTGCTGGCAAAGTTGCAGCCGGGGTCACTGTCCATTCTTTTCCGCAATGACCATTTCACAACGCTCTACAAACACCCACAGCTCAATCGGTTATTCACACTAGTCACCGACGCTGGCTATGCCTCTCATGCGGAAGTTGTGTGGGAGAGCCTTGTTGACGTAAATGGATCAAACACCAGTTACTACGCCGGAGACTTCCGCCCTGTCAGCCATGATGCTCCTAGGGCGTCTGATCCCTCCGGTCCACGAACCTCAAGCAATCCAAGAGACTCTCTACCAGCGCCTGCGGAACGGCAAAGTGCCAATCTCACTCCTCAGGAGCAGGCGGACGCTGACTACGCTTACGCTCTGTCCCTGCAGTACCAGGAAGAGGAACAGCGAGAAAGCACTGCCAGCAATGACAGAAATCCGACCCATCGCGCCTCCATGTCCAATGCCTCCACTGGTGTATCACGCGAATCAGCCTATGCTCACAATCGTTCATCCAGTGGTGTTAACGTCAGCAGCACTGGCAGCGGAGGCACGTACGCGGCAGCTGCGCGAAACCAGCCGTCGCGACAAAGTCAGGGCTCAGGACGACGCTCGCAGACACGCTTTACAACTCATCGTCCTGTGCACGACGATGAGGTCCCGCCACCTTCTTACGAGCAGGCCGCCAGTAGTCCGATCTATCCGTCGCCTCAACGCAGCGCCGTTAACTCTACGGAAACGCCTTACCCACGAACCACGGCCGGAAGACGATCCTATGGGAACTCCATCTCAGCAGGGTCTGCAGAGCGCCCCAAAGACCGGAATAAGGATTGCGTGGTCATGTGAGATCCTTCTTCGCATTGACAAATGCTATCCAGACGACTTTGAAATCTGCTCTCGCGAGTGGAATTTGACCTCGGATTCGATGATAAGATCCTCTGCAATGACTGATGTTGTTATGTAATATATGAATACCGCTTTGCTGTGATTCTGCTAGATGACTAGCACACTGCAGGCTTTGTGTTATGAGACTTGATGTGACTTTGATAAGCATTTTGTGGATCGCAGTGGCTACATATGGAGGATTGTTGTTTTATAGCCTCCAAGGGCTCGACTTGTTGTCCCGGGTTTTTATTTTATTGTTCAGTGCTTGGAGTTGTACATAGCGAATAGCGTGAGGTCTGCTAAACACATGATTTTATGATACATGGAAGCGAGGGTATTTAGGAAAGAGGAGTCAATCCCTACTATGAATCAAGAACACGCAGCCCTCTCGTATGGCCCAGGATTTAGATCGACCTCTAGCCTAGATTACCAAGCAACCCATCCAGCCGACACAGATACATGTGTACCTCAGGCATCATCGTTGATCAGATCAGATCAGATTAGATCCCATCCTCTCCCCTCGCCTCGCCTCCGAAGCACCCCACGTCGCGTTCGCCGCGGGCGCCCCGGAAAGATTCCCATTGGCTTGAGCATTTTTGAAAGTGGATTCTTCGCGTTTGATACAAATGACCTCCTAATTTGTACCAAGGGATGAGCGGTGACCTGACCGGGCTGGCTGGGTGTTGAGCTGGTGCTTTGATTGATTAGAAGGAGAACTATCTCTTGGCAGGAACAGGAACAGGAACGGGCTTGAACAGCGCTAACGACATAGACCAGACTGAATTACCAACACGAACACCTTGATTCCACGGAATGAACAACCTTATCTTGCAGCTATGTGGTAAAAATGCAAGCTTGACCTTCCCAGGCGGAAAAAAAAACCAGATGCAAGAGAAGAAAAAGATATTCCTTTGGTCATTTATCCTTTGTTCAATCGAGAGAAAGAGACTAGGGGTCAGAGATCTACTATCGTGCAGCGGCCCGTCTCGCAGACCATGAGATGATTCTTCGCCGGGTGGGTCGGCCGCAACTCTTTGTACAGGGGGTTGCGCGTCCGCAGCCAGAAAGACTGGTTTCCTACAAAATCTCCCAGATGAGAGGGTCTGATATCCACAAGCGAGACGGTCGTGGTAGCCGTCGATAGTGTTGGGCCGGCCTCGGCGCGGAGCTTCTTTACCAGGAGATCACGGGCGGCAATCGGTTCGTCAGCTTTGCTGGTGGTGGTGGTGTCGTTAGATGATGCTTGTTGTGTGCTGCTGCTGCTTGGTCCTGGTGGTATGGCTGCTGTGCTGAATACACCCGTGATGTTCCGCGTTCCCGTCTCCAAGCCGACGATGGCGTCTAGGAGTCCTACGAAAAGGAATGGGTGCTGCAGAATCTCCACTGAGAACGAGCGGCAGGTCTGGCGGGCTAGGGTACGATACCCCTCCTCCTCAAAGAGGCTCGCGAGGCGCAGCAGATTGCGCGCAATGACGCCGTTGATGGATGGGGTGGCTGACTCGGTCCCGGTTTTCAAGCGTAGGAGAGGACCGGGAGTGCCTGGGGTCATGGTTGAGGGGGTGCTATAGTAACCTGCGGGTGTGGAGCCAACGTGTGCGAGGAAGTTGTCGTTAAGATAGTCTTATTGATGTGTTAGCAAGCCAGGTTATTTTCAACATTTACTAGGCACTCACTCTGCAGCTGGTCGGCGAATTGCAAAAAGCTGTCGTCGAAAGTCGCCTCGTACATATCCAACAGTCCACTTACCAAGTACGCATAATCATCAGCGAAGCCAGGGGTAGTCCCCCGAGCCCCGTCGCGGTAGATGCGCCATAGCTGTCCCGTTGACTTGTCAAACAAGTTTTCCTTGATGAAGTTGATTGCCTTGGCTGCCGCCTCCCTACACTGTGCTGCCTTCGTATTTTCAATTTCTTCGAATAGTGCACTGCACTTGGCGAGTGCCCCGATGGCAAGTCCATTCCAGGCAACAATGACCTTGTCGTCCAAGTCCGGACGTACGCGAGTCCTCTCCCTGTAGTCGCACAGCTTCTGCTTTGCAGACTTGATAATCCTGACCACCTCGTCTTCTCCGAGACCAAATTCTTTGGCCAATTTGCTAGGCGTCACTTTGACCGATAGCACGTTCTGGTTCATAAATTCATCATGTGGGTCGTTCTCGGGCGGGATGTTGCCATCCGGCAGAACACCCCAGTGACGAGCACAGACCCCAGCATCTCGCTGACCAAGTACCTGAGTCAGCTCTTTCAACGTCCATACATAGAATGCGCCTTCACGCTTCTCGGTGTCATTGGGCGTCGGGAGACTGTCTGCATCTTCTGAGGAGTGGAAAGCGCCTGCTGGTGACTGGATCGGAGCCGATGTGAGATAGCTGACCAGGTCGTACACAGCCCCAAGTAACTCAGGATTATGAGTGATCTTGAATGCGTCTACGAAGACGTCCAAAAGCTGTGCTTGGTCGTACAGCATCTTCTCGAAGTGAGGTAATCCCCAGTTTGGAGTGACACTGTACCGCGCAAAACCGTGCCCGATATGGTCTCGAATTCCTCCACGCGCCATGCTAATAAGCGTATTGACTGCCATGGAGGTCGCCCGCTCACACTCGTCCTTCCCGACAATGTCCGACACCGCAGTTGGATAGATCCCCAGGCGCAGCAAAAAGGCCAAATTGGAGGGTGTGGGGAATTTAGGAGCCGTAGAAAATCCTCCATGTACAGGATCGTATCGCGAAACGAAATGCTGATAGGCCTCCTCCAGAAGCTCAATGTCCAGGTCTTCATCCGCTTGCCGATCGCCTTGGTAAGAATGTGTGCCCTCCTCGGCGAATTCGCGAAGCTGTTTGGTAATTTCCTTCGCACTCTCGAGACACCTCTGCTGTTGTGTCTGCCAGACATCCCGGAGCTTTTCGAGGATTTCGACAAATCCGATCGTCTCGTTTCCTGTCAGGCTGGAGGAGTTGGGGCCGGGCCAGTAAGTCCCGCCAAAAACAGGTTCAAGATCTGGAGTAAGAAAAACATTCAAGGGCCAGCCGCCCGATCCGGTGGTTGCCTGGACATAATTCATGTAGACATCGTCGACATCGGGTCGCTCCTCTCTGTCCACCTTGATTGGGATGAACGACTCGTTCAGCACTGAAGCCACTTCGTGGGACATGAAAGACTCCTTTTCCATAACATGGCACCCTAATGCCGGTAATTAATTCCGAGAATCAATGCGACCAAGTATCAAGGGGAAAGGCAGGCTTACAATGACATGCCGAATACCCGATGCTCAGGAAGATCAGCCGATTATGGCGTCTGGCCAACTCGATGGCTTCTGTGTCCCACAGCTGCCATGCTACTGGATTGTTCATATGCGCCCGCACCTATTAATACGTCAGTGAGAACAGACGGGGTTCGATTTGCGGGGATTCGACGGACGTAAGGTGATTTGCTGTCCCGCAGTCGATTGACGAGCTTCGGTCCTGCGTCGGCCAGATTATGATGCATGCCTGATGGGGCAGCCATGTTGAGGCCGTAAGACATTCACGTGGTCCTAAGCCTTTCAGCCAGTCGATAGTTCGTCGAGATCTCGCACAAGATAGGCAGCCTGCTTGCGATGCGCGCGTGGGTTAGAAAGCAGCTACAGGCAGCCGATAAGGTATCACCACTTGGCCGTTGTATCGGGGCTAAAAGATGGCAGGGAACTAGCGGGGAGTAAGAGAGTGAGTGACAAACCAGCTGCAAGCGATCTAATCCAGAGAACCAGCAATATCCAACGATCGATCGAAGAGTAAAGGTAACGGAGTGATTCGGCAGACAGACAGGCAAGCGGCGGATGAGGGGGGAGGGGAAAGAGGGAGGAAACGCATGTGCCCGCGTTACTAGTCAGTTTAGTAACATCACTAGTCCGCCTGGCCCGCATCCGGGAGATCGTCGCCCGTGCGTCATGGACTCGCCCCTGCATGGTCACGTGGATGGTAGTCACACCTCGGCATTCTACGTGAGACCGTACGCTACGGGCTGATTCTACTGATTATCGCTTGGAAGTACGAGTATGGTCGTGACGGTCATTTATGAATTCTTGGAGTAGTCTCAGTCCTCGCCCATAAGCTCGGCCAGCTCCCGCTCCTCCTCTTCCGTAAGCATCGACCCGGGGTTGGTGGGCTGCTCTTCATCCTCGGTCGAGGTCTTTTGTGCCATGGCTACTGCCGTCTGAAGCTCATCGGGCTTCAGAGACCACTGTCGGATAGTGGCATCAATACTGACACTGACAACTGTTGCACCCACGAGTACTAGCCCTGTCACTTCTTCGTAATGTCCAGAGAAGGTATGGTAGAGTTGTCCGGTCTGTTTCGTTGCGGTTAGCAGAAGTCCAGTCAACGCAGCAATCGTAGAGGAGTATAGACCTACCGATCGATTCCATACGCGGACCTCTTCATCACGGCACGCTGTGACCACCCACCCACCTTGCTCATAAACCACCACATCACGAACATAGTCGGGATGATCCAGGGTTGTGTTGGGTTTCCAGCCTTCATCTCGACTCAAGCACTTGGTGGTCTTGTCGGCTGAAGCAGTCCACAAATCGGCATCCTGGTCGAAGAACAGTTTGTGCACGTTGGTCTCGTGAGCCAGGATTGCAGCGGTACCGGTTTGATCTTGGCTGCCCTTAGAGATGTCGAATTGGCGAATCTCTCTGTCGCTTCCGGCACTGAATACAATCGGCTCTGGGCTATCCGAGTCCAGCGAGATGGGATCAAAGGCCAAATTTTGAATCCCCTTGGCGTGGCCCTTCAGCACGGCCAATCGTTGCCCAGTCGCGATGTCGAAAACTATTATTTGCGCATCGGCGCCACCCGAAACCAGAACATCTTGCCCACGTAGTCTCGTGCTGATGACGGACCGGACAAAATCCGTGTGGCCTTCATATCGCAGCTTGCGTTCCTTTGTAGTTGCATCCCAACTCCAAACCGTCTTATCCCAGCACCCAGCGAATAACAGGCGACCATTGGGTGAAAAGCATAAGCTCGTAATCGGTGCGGTTGGTCCCTTGTAGATGGCTGCGGTTTCTCCGGTCTAACACAGATACCAAGGACAGATCCCCATAATTTAGCCACAGTCCTCGCAAAACGGCTGTGCTGTGCACCTACTTCGAGTATGACCTTGCGCACTGTTCCACCACTCTGAGCCACGAAGACAGCGTTTGCGTTTAAGGGATCAGCAGCGACGGCCAGAATCTTGCTCTGGAGCCGAATAGGGTTTCCGTTGGTATTTTGTGACTTGGCATCCTTGCGTTTTTGCTCATCAAGGGAAGCTCTGCAGCCGGAAGGAATCAGCGAGGAGCATGCGAACTGCAGCTGGGCAGCGATAAGGAAACGAACGTAGTCTGAAAGAAGTCATCGCGATGGCTCGATTGCGCCATTGTGAAGCTTGTGAAAGGTATCAGATGAGAGGAAGACACTGGTTGTAATCAATTGAGTTTTTGTGATTGTGATCATCATCATCATCATCATCACCGAGTCCCGACCCACGGTATCATGACTAAGCTCCAGCAAGCAACCAACTTTCGGTCCCGTCCCCGCCCTCACGTGGTTCCTTTTGGGCAAAACTGGCGAAGGAACTGCGCGGTGAGCTTCTCACGCTCACCGGAGCCCCAACTCTTCCCACCCACAAAACCGGCTTCTTCCGTCTTTCGATTTCGACCTTTCCTCTTCCTCCTTCCTTTCACTTCTCTTCCCTTCTCTCTCTTCCCCAATTTTCCTATATCTTCACCTCTCCCTCTTTCTTCCCCTTGTTCCCTTCTCTCTTTTTCTGCGCGTCAATCGCGCAACTCTCCCTCTCAGCATGGATATGAACCATTTAATAGGGTCAGTCTTCTATGCCTACCTACTGGTGTGATCCTGGGTTTGTGCGGCTAGGCGGGAGTTAACACCTGGCAGTCAGCGGTTCAACCTGATCTCCAAGAGTGACATTCGGTATGTGCCACCTTTCCAACCCTTCTGAAGCTTCCTGCTTCGGCTTCAGCTCCGTGCTCGCGTCCATTGCCCTCGGAGTCATTGCCAATGACTGTTCGTGCTGACAGCTTCCCCCGCTAGCTACGTTGGAACCTTGCATGAGATCAACCCTGAAGCGTCCACAATAGCTCTGGAGAATGTCGTCTCTTTTGGAACTGAGGGCCGTCGAGGCAACCCAGCTGAAGAGATCGCCCCGTCTGCCAGTGTTTATGAATACATTGTCTTCCGGGGCAGCGACGTAAAAGACATTAGCGTAGCGGAGGACAAGAAGGAAAATGCACCATCTGAGCCTCCTCAGGTCCCTGATGATCCTGCCATCCTGGGGGTAAGTTTGCTCACCACACTCTCCACTCTCCCCGCCCCTCGTCACCTCTGGTGTTGGTGTCCATTGGACACTCGATCTTATGATGAAATATTTCGGATGTAAACTCACAGACCTGTTCTGAATGCGCAAAACCGTGTGGATTTTTCCGTTGCCTTCCTTCTGACAAGATCAAAACACCTTACTCTTGGCCTTTGCACAAGAAAACACTTCTCTGTGATGCAAGATACTAACGTGTCAATTGGTGTAGAGCATGTCTCGTCCTGGTCCAGGTCCTCAAGGCATTCCTCCTCACTCCCAAGCACAGCAACCTCCTCGTCCAGCTCCTGGTTATCCCCAGCAACCTCAGTTCCAGGGCTTCTACCCTCCCTATGGGCAGCGCTTTGGGGCTCCTGGTTTCCCTCCTGGGCCCGGATTCCCTAATATGCCGTACGGAGCTCCTCCCCCAGGATGGTACCCTCCCCCGGGTCAAGGATTCCCTCAAGGACCAGGCCAGTTTCCCCCTCATCAGATGCCTATTGGACCCCCTGGTCAACACCAGACCCCTCCGCCACAGCGTCAGGGGGCGCCTGGTGCGGGCCCTGTAAACGTTCCTAAAGCCACCTCCGAGCTTCCCGTTGGTGAACGGCCCTCCAGTAAGCCCGCCAGCCGGAATGCCACGCCTGCACCTGCTGCTGGTCAGAACCCTCCTCCACCCCCTGTTGAATCGAAACCTTCCGTAACGGAAGCCGTACAAGCCTCCAGTATTCCCGCGGCGGCGGCGGCGCTTCCGGTTGCATCCAAGATACCACCCACCGGACCCAGGAGCGGACGTGTGCAGCCGGCCATCCCGATTGCTACGCACTCTAAGCCGCCAGTCCCAGCTGTAGGCCCTTACCCCGGTGCTGGTGTGGGAAACAATGTGTCGCAAGGTACTGCTGCTCAGGCGGCCATTACTGAAGCCACTCGTGCTGCCACTGCTGCTGTTGCGGCTGCCATGGCTAAATTGCCCCAACCCAGTGCACAGAAGGCTCCGGGTCATGGCGATACGTCTGTGGACGCCGTGGCAAAGCAGCTCGCTGAGATGAAGCCTTACGAGGGAAACCGGGCTCCTCGCGGCGGTCACCCGCACCCACGGGGAGGACGTGGTGGTCACCGCGCTCCTTATCAGGGCCAGGCGAAGAAGGTTGAGGTTCCTGACACCGACTACGACTTCGAGACCGCGAATGCCAAGTTCAACAAGCAGGATCTGGTGAAGGAGGCTATCGCCACTGGCTCACCGGTGCATGAAGCCGAGGCTGCTTTCCCTGAGGGCGAGGACGAATATACCGATAAGCCTAGTGCGGATAACGTCAATTCGTACAACCGGGCTACCTCCTTCTTTGACAACATCTCGAGTGAGGCTCGTGACCGGGAAGAGGGTACTGGTGCTCGTGCCGGTGGTCGTGAGTGGCGCGGTGAGGAGGAGAAGCGGAACATCGAGACCTTTGGCCAGGGCAGCGTCGATGGATATCGGGGCAGCTATCGGGGCCGTGGCAGAGGAAGAGGCTACGGCCGTGGCCGCGGAGGTTATGGTCGTGGATACAACTCTCGTGGCCGTGGCGGTCTCCGTGGTGGTCGCAATGCTCCTCAGTCCACCGGTGTGCCTACGCAGATTTGAATCGTCCCTTTGGTTTTGTCTTTTCATGACTGTCAAGCAGCAGTTCATTGTATCATGCGCTTAGCGATTATTGTTGCTATTCTTTTCTCTGAGGAGTGGTTTATGTCCGTCCACGACTACTTTTTTTGTTTCTCCTGATATCCCTGGCGTCTGATGGAGCATCCAATGAATACATACATGGTCTTGACGTGCAGAAGGTCATGGCTTTCGATTGTGATTGGGATCCTTATGGGTTATGGTGGATTTGGTGAAATATGTGCTGGGATGGCTACTGTTACATCTGGGGTCAAATTTGGCGTTCTTCATACTCATGCATGAGCAGGTCTCGAACTCTCATTGCAGCGATCTTCTGGACGGGGGAAGTCTGTTAATATTGTGTTTGATATCGTCACCTCACATGGACCAATGTCTGAGGTCCTGGATATGTCGCTTGGCTGCTCCAGTCTCTCTGTTGTGGATGTGGATTACGTCGGACAATGATTGAGCGTGGACCATCTTTGTATCATACTATGAGACATTATCCTTGATGATGAAATCAAAAGACCGAAAAAGGAGGCCTTCTGGCCTACCAAGCAGTTTTCCTTGAGTAGTCTCGTGACGAGTACTTCCTTCGCTTGTAGATGCACGGATAATCCGGCCAACTTCCCCTCACCGGCCTTCCATGCTCCCTGACATCAACGGTAAAGATTCACTCTCCCCCACCCCACCATGCGTCAGTATTAATCTTAGAATTGGTATTATCAAAGCTTCACCGCGGGGATGGTCAATTCTCATTCGTGTTCCTCCGCCTGAAGATTGTGTTTCATTCGGCAATGTCCCCCTCACGAGCCGTCCATATGCCTCGGCCAAGAACGCTCGTCATACCCGAAAGAAGCAGTGATGTGGAGTAGCCGTGAGAAGCACTCATAAATGGGGGACAGTTCCAGTCCATTCGAAGGGTCACGGGTATAATGGGGCTTCAAGTCTTGCCGGTTCCACACGTTCAACTCACCGTGAGCCACGGTCAGTCGATTCCAGCAAGCGGGGAAAACTATATATACGGTAGCGCAACACTACCGCCATGGGGTATATCAATGAACGACTGAAAAAGGTTTCGGAGATCATTTCGCCAACAACCTCTGCCGCAGGTGATTGTACTACCAACATGACTACTACTTCTGAGCGTGTCCAAGTTCCGGATCAGCTTCCTTGGGATCCGAATTGCACGCGGTTCCCCACGCGCAAGGAACTGCCTAAGATCCCCGGGGCTCCGAAGGATGCGGCATGGGTTTGGGGGAAGGATGATCAGGTATTGTACTGTTGCGGTTTCGTCTTCGGGGAGAATGCACCTCGAATTTCCTAGCTGACCTTGTCTACTTGGTAGCTCGGACGGTTGAATCTGCTGACGCCGGCTCGGGTCAAAGCTGCTGCTGCGGAGATCAAGCTGGGGGAGATGATTCGACTTGAGTGAGTTTTGTTGAATCAGTGGCTATTGTCTCGTCTCGTAGAGGGCGTAGTTACAAACTACGTGGCTTTGTTGTGCAGAGAAGCTGATGCAGCAACAGTCTCCCATTGCATATCCCCGAGACCCCGGCCTTCGACCGCGAGCCCTTCCAGCATCATATCAAGGAGCTCGTCGAGGACGTGGTCTACGACGATACCTACACCTTGAACACGCAGAGTGGCACCCAGTGGGATGGATTTCGCCATGTACGTTGCTCTCTCTTACCGGGCTTCTCCATAAAGCTAGAGGCTTGAAATCCAACGATCCTGTCATATATGCTAACCTGTTGATCGATCCCGATGACTATAGTTCGCCCACCTGGACACCAAACTCTTCTACAACGGGGTTCGTACAGTACAGCCCCAAATCAGACACACCACACGCACACATCCAACTAACCAATCCCTCCAAGGCCAAATCCACCGACTTCAAACCTCCCTCCACGACCTCCCCCTCCCCCCACAAATGCAGCATCCACCACCTCTCCACCCACGGCCTCGCCACCCGCGCCATCCTCCTCGACTACCGGCACTACCACAGCACCACGCATCCCGAAAACCCCTACGACCCCTACACCTCCCACCCCATCCCCCTATCGGCCTTACACGCCTGCGCCCGCGCCCAAGGCATTAACCCACTCCCCGCCTCCCAAGGCGGCGACATCCAACCGGGCGACCTCCTCCTCGTCCGCTCCGGCTTCGTCGAGCAGTACCACACCCTGCCAGCCCAGCAACGCACCGCCGCCGCGCGCCGCTCCCACGCCGACCTCCGCTGGGCCGGGATCGCGCAAGACGAGGACGTGCTGACCTGGTTGCATGACTGCTACTTCGCGGCGGTGGCGGGGGATTCGCCGACGTTCGAGTGCTGGCCGCCCACCCGTGATGGCGGGCAAGGCTTCATGCATCAGGAGTTGCTCGCGTGCTGGGGGATGATGATCGGGGAGATGTGGGATTTGGAACGGTTGGCAAGCCGGTGTCGGGAGTTGGGCCGGTGGACCGTCTTTGTGACGAGTGCGCCGGCTATGGTCTTCGGTGAGTTCCTGAGTTCCTCTTTTTCTTTTTTTT